TATGGTATATTGCTATAATTGTTCTCTTTTATTATTAGTAATTGTTGATCTCTTAACTGTTCCTAATTTATAAATTAAACTTTATCATAGGTAGGTATATGTGTGTAGGCAAAAAATAGTATATACAGGGTTGGGTGATATCTGTAGTTTCAGGCAACCGCTGGTGGGTTTGGAACATATCTCCTGCAGATAGAGGGGAAATACTGTATAAAATCTTTTTTTATTTAAAACTCATTTATGATTTCCATTGTTTTCTAGAATCTTTAATATTGCCCTGCATGGCACATTCTTGCAGTCTGTGTCTCCTTTTCCTTTCTGTGTTCATCTCACTGGACGCTGGTTTCTCAGATGCTCTGTGATTCCTCTGCCACAGGGTCTTTGCATATGCTATTCTCAGAGGTCTTGAGCTATTCTTTTCTTGAAATGATTTTTTTGCCATATTCCAAAGAATATTTTTCCCATTTTCATTTCAGAGGCTGAAATGAACAGAATCTTCATGGACATTTGCTTTTCTGGCTGAAGAACTGGCTTAGTCTTTAGGAAAGCATCATGCTTGCTTCTCCATTATCTTTTCAGATGGGTGAGGAAGCAGCTAGTTTTTAGTGATTGATGGGGTGTTTTGTTAAAACCAGAAAGTCCAATTTTGGAAGGTCTATAAACATCCCCATCAAAATAAGCTCTAGAGAGCTGCTGTACAACATTGTACATATAAAGCAACAATGATGTGTTGTACACTTAATAATGTGTGAAGGCAGTAGACCTTATGTTAAATGTTCTTACCAAAATAAAATAAAATAAAATAAAATAAAATACAATAAAATAAAATAAAAACATCTCAGTCATGGTGTCACAGAATATGGAAGCCAAGATGAGGAAAACATGTGTTGATCTTCTGCCCTTCTTTGTCGGTGGCAATGATGCATCTGCTGGGAATCCCCAAGTCTGCTGGTGCAGAAGAACAGGGAGGTACTTGTTATGAATGGCCATGTCTGAATTACAGAACACCTCATTTTGCACCATTATGACAAATGTTGATGTCTGCCAAGGATGCTTAAGGCTCCCTAATGTGACTGCAAATGCTTTTACTGAGTGTTGGCCTTGGATGCTAGAACAGCATCAGTTCACATTATACCGAATCCCTGGTCTTTCTTTTGCTCAAATGAAGAAAAGAGAAACTGCTAGGAGAAAACCATAGCACCTTTATCATAGTTGATATATATTCATTCTCACCTTGAGAAATGAAAGAGACCATCTATTAGAAATCATTGGTTGATTTGCTAACATTAAGTTCTCTCTCTGAGGGTCATCTGTTGCTACACAGGGCAAAAGGCAATCTGAGCAATCCCACTGGTTTGCATGAACTCAGAAATGGCTTCAGTGTCTGACACATTTCAGTGCACAGCATGTCTGAACGATCTTACACCACTTCTGAGTGGAACCAAGCTTCATATTCACTTGAAGACATACAAAGTATCTTATAATGAATTAGTGTTTTACTCTGAGAGGAGCTTACTAGTTTATTGGTTTGAAGATAGTGGTGTTTATTCTGACTAAAGCTGACTTTTATTATTTGCAAAATTTAGAACTTAATCTTTTGCTTTATGCTAAATAACCGAGCACAAACCCTGAATGGTGCCAATCCCCTCACCCCATCACTCCTGTGTCCATGGGAAACATCATTAATTGGTCCTGACAGTTTCCCATGGAACCCAGGGTTTAGGCTCCATCCCAGCACATCACTGCACACATCCTTCAGTCAGCGTTTCTTTTCCCATGATGTGAAAAATGAGGCCAGTTTACATGTACGTAAAATGTAAGCCAGTATTTTTTAAATTGGAGAGATTTCTTTATTGCAGGATTACTTAACCTTCAATATATGCATATTTAATGTGCTCTTCTAAAAGGGACTAAAATACATATGACCCCTGGGCGCACTGGATCACAGAACCCCTTTTTAATGCAGTTCCTGTGAGTCTTTGTAACATGACTTGGGGAACAATACGATAGCATCTTACTGTTGATGGATGTTTCCGCTTGAGGCTTCTGATGCTTATGGGTGACCCAGGTGGTCATTTTTTTTTGTAATTATTGTTTTCAATTGTTTTTTTTTAATAATGTTATGGATGTGAATTATATGCTATCAAGCTGTACTTGAGAGCCAGTGAGATAACAAGTCAGCCTCAGGTCAGACACCATTCACATTTCAAAGAGGATTGCTTTTTGCAAGCTAACTTCATTGACAGTTTACTCCAAGTCAAATGTGCCAAGCACATACACTTTAGTAAAATGACCATATATCCTAGTTTATGCCTGAGGCTGTCTTGGCTCATGCCTGCTTCCCATTGTACTTACTAACAATACTTCCTTTCACCTCTTTGCATGATAAATTAATTAAGGCATATCCTTACATTTAATTCTCAAACCAGGCTAATGTTGGTATTGTTAACCCCATTTTATCAATGATCTAACAGGTATGACACAGCTGAGCCCATATTCAAGCTAGGTCCGTCTAACCTCAGAGCTCATGCTCGGGACGGCAGTCCTGTCCTGCTCATTTACTACACGATGTCACTTAGCACCTGTAAAATTATGTAAGAAGAGTGATCACCTGCATTTTGAAGATATATAGATGTGTAAATCTGAGGTCTGTTGTATTGAGAATCTTGCCTTTTGCTGTCATTTAGGTGGTACTAGCCCTTGTCCTCAGAGGCCGGCCCCACAACATGAGGCAGCGGACCGTGTGTCTGGCTGGTAGAGCCACACAGAGGGCTGCCTCGGGCGGCCGACACGCTCTGTGCTCCTCCGCTGCGACCTGCTCCGTCAGGCGCAGGACGCAGATCTCTCTCCGAACTCTCCGAAATGTCCACACATTTAGAAAAGCAATACGCGGTAAAATTCAGGTGAGTCTAAGTTAATAAAATCAGGCCCCCTGAGCATTATAGAAAACAAGAAGAAACTCAGGTTAGTACACAATAGGATATAATAACAACATGAGTTACAAGGTCATTCTCACTAGAAAAATACAGAGAGCAGTCTTATTTTCTTAAAATTGGAGTTTCCATTGGTAGAATAATCTGTTCGATTTATCAAAGTGCATTACAGTCAGCCATTCTTTTGAGTATTTAATGATCCATTCAAACTTAAGCCATATGTATTCTAATATAAAGACTTCCATTTATGTTCTCATAAGGGTTTCCACTTATGCAGAACATTCTGAATAAAGTTAACTTTTTATTTTAATAAATTTAACATCCTACTCTATAGTCTATATCAGACATTTTGGAGTGGGAAGTTTTTTTGTCCTGCATATTAAAGAATGTTTATTAGCATCCTTTGTCCCTACATTCTAGATGCCAGGACCACCTTCTCTGTAGTCACGACCATTTAAAATATCTCTAGATATTGCCAACTTCTAGGGCAAAGAGACCAAAACTGCCTCATTTGAGAACCGCTGGCTAGATGCTTCCTCTTTGTTGCCTAGAAAATCGGTGGAAAAGAAGGGAATTAATATTAAATATAAAATTCCTTTGATGACATTCAGGACCTGTTCATATGTGTATTTCTCTAGAAGTCAGAGTCATGGTAAATGTGAGAGCCTGAGGAAGGGGCCGGCTCTTGGCTAAAGTTGAGAGGATGGTTTCATTCCTCAAAACAAACTTGATTTGAGGAAGGGATGAAGAAAAAGATAAGGTATATTAGCTGTAGGCTGCTCAGTCTTTGGGAGTCAGCACAGAATCCTCACAAGGCCTCTCGTGGAGGTCTTTCCTTCCTGGCAGTGACTAGGGCTCTTTGAGAAATGCTCCAAACCTCTGGGGAAAGTTCACGCATTTCTAGTCTACATCCCTGCCCCTCCGCTCTGTCCTCTGACCTTCCATCACTAAGGCAAAGCCTCTGTTGTATTGCTCAAATTTGATGGGCAGTATTCTATATATTAAGAATAAAGCCCAGAGATTAAAAATATTGCTTCTTTATGGAGCATTCTCATTTGGGAACATTTCAAAATTTGAGCTACCCTTCCTCTGCCTTTGCATTTCTCTACTTTTCATCTCTTCCTTCCAAGAGCAGGCATGCTATGGACTCATCTCGATCCTCCAGCTCCAACCTCGTCTGACCAACGTTCTTGCTCTGGCACAGCCTAATCAGTCTGGACAGGATGAGCTGTGGTACAGGAAGCCTGGGCAGTTTTAGGTTTCTCTGTCCATGTTTCTTTTTGTGATGACAAAGGAGTAAGATTTCCAGGGCCAGTGTGTCTATGGAAAGAGACTATTAAATGGGCTTTTTGCCATGGTTTTGTTGTAAGTTAGCCCAGTTCATAAGGGTAGTATTTTAACAGATCCCGAATTTAGATTCCTATCTATGTTAGAGACCTGATTAACTCTCAGGCCTTATCTTCCGTTTCCACCCTTAACTGAGTCTCAGGTAAGAAATGAGCTAATTATAATTAGGAAAGTTAAAATTTTACTTGTCACTGGATTTCACATTCTTAATAAAACTAAAGCTAATGGTGCAATTGTAGGTATCAGTCACAGGCTAGTATGGAAGTTTTGACTTTAGAGATGATATATACATTTACACTTTACAAATGGAGAAAATCATAGAAAAGCAGTCAGCTTCCCCATTGCTTTCCCTAACTACTTGGGTGTGGCAATCTGCAGAAATGAGGGCTCATGCACAGAACAGCATTCCAGTTCTTGAAAGTTTGGATGTGAAACTTAGGCTGAATTTTGAAATATAATAATCAAAGGCAGCTTCTATAGGGATTAATTAAACTGTATTATTTAAAAACCAGGTTTATTTAACAAGTTTAATAGTCTTGAGAAACCTATAATCAATATTTTGCAGAAGGACTGTAAAAAAATAAACATTCCCATCTTTGTTTAGAAGGTAGAGAAACATCGTTTCTGTTTATTCTACTTCATGGGCCCTACACAGTGAAATTAGTCTGTATTAGGGTGGTTGGTGATGTGGGCTGTGAAAGAATTCAGAAACAGAAGAAAGTATAGAGAGTAAAACTTTTTTATTAATTTTCCAAGAGGGCAGAGGGGCTTGGTGTGGAGGTACACCAGCCCTGAGGGGCGGGGGCTTTGAGCTTTTACGAGGTGACTGGGGTGGCTGTAGAGCAGGATGTTTCGGCTGGTCTTGTACGGGCTGCATCTTGTCTCCTTATTGTTTTTGGGTGCATGGTCTGGTAGTTGTGGTCTGGCACGTCCTGTTTCGTAAGTTCCTCGGATCCTCTGCACCTTCAGGGTGCTTCCAGTAATTTTCTAGTCCTGAGGATAAAGGCTCATAAAAGAAGAGTCAGTTATGCTTTTTGGGGTCCGGCTAGCTCTGGCAGAGAGGGCCTGAAATGGGGCTTTTGTTCTATTACTCAAGTTCACTTTCAAATAATTTTCGTAGACTTCTCTCTTTGTAAAATGGCAGGCAGAAGAATTTAGTGGTTAATTTCCATGCATTGATCTTTCCCCCCATACATTAATTTTTAAAAGTCAGACATAGCTTTAAACATTCATTTTATTTGCAGCAATTGTTCATGAAAATCATAGAATGCTAAAACCATTTTCTATTCTAAGCTAGTAAAATGTGTCTAAGAAATAAGATGGTGAATTTGTAAGCCTTTTAACAAGGTATATAGGTTATAGAAATATATATTAACATGAGATACAAAAAGTTAGAAAAATGATGTTCAGGGTTACATGCAAATAAGCACTAAATAAAGGAAGATTTCTGCAAACATTATATAATAATAATAGATAGTTTTGAATGTGAGAAATTCAGAAAATGGACAAGTCACTCAAAAGGCAAATATGTACTGAACAAATTTGTGTTTTCATTGTTATTCTAAGGACTGGAGAAGTAAGTCATTAAGGTTAGTGCCTAAATTAGACCCACTAACTTTGCTACAGAGCATTTAATATTTCTGCTCTTGTCCTTCAATTTTCAAAATGGAAAATAGTTGCTTCAGTGGGAACTGCATTGTAAAATGCAAGAATTTTATTTTCAAAGAATGCCGGCATTCAATTTTAGTCTTGATAAACTCATCTGGAGCAGATATAATGTCAATAAATTGTGGCAATAATAAACTCTGAAATCCAGAGGACTGCTTTTTCTTTCACAATATAGATTTGCCCTGAAGACAGCAGGCCATCCAAATGCAGAAAGCACAGTATCTGCAGACTCTTGTTTCATTATAACAACCTGAAAAAGAGATCACAGGAAATGCATTAGTGAATAATGTATCATCAATTGAAATTGATTAGCTAGCATAAAGTCACCCCCATACATAAATCTTTCTAAGGAACAATCACCTTTGGCTTGAAAAATACACATGTTTATTCTTTCAGGAGAAGAAAATGAAATATTTATTTTGTTTGCTAGACAAATGATTCCTTCAAGTCCCAAATAAGCCTAATTTAGGTTTTTAAAAAACATGGCTGTTTTTCTTACCTTCCTTAGTGATCTTTTCTGTAACAGAAACCAAATTCCTTTTCAACTTGGAGTCGAGCAGGATGCTAAGAAAAAAAAATACAAAGAGCTAGCTAGCATTTCTCCATTTTTAAAGCTGAGCAAAGAAACATGAAAAAGTCATAGCTGCCTTTCACAGTCATGAAAAAGCAGCTGTGCCGAGGTAACTGACAAGAAATCCTCCCTTTTATAAAGAACCAATCATTGTAAAGCTCAACTCCGTAACAGTCCTTGACTTCAAATTTTATTTCCATTTTGATGGAGAGTAGTCCAAGTGTTGGGAATTTGTATTCTTTTCTCTTATCTGAAATCTTACTCCAAAATAACAGAACATGATTGTACAGTCCTTTAGATCACAGAGAAGGATCTTTGTTTCACAAAGATATTTTCATAAATTCCTGGGCCTAGCTGGCATCCCATAATTCTGCTATAGCCGAATGAGTCTAGTGAGTCTATGTATTGAAGGGTGCTCATTAGGCCTGTCACCCATTGGTGGCCACAGAATGATCCAGAAATGCAAATACTTTGATCAGTTCTTAAGAGTGAATGGCTTTTAAGATTACTAATGATTTATTTGAAACATTAGAGAAATTAAGGGTTACTAATTTTGGTACGTTTAAATTGGTTTATTATGAGAACTTAACAAGGGCTCTAATTCTGGATTTTTTGCAGGAAATACAGTTGCCACATGACCTGGAGTAACACTGCAAATTCCCTACATCTTATATATAGATAGGTGGAATAACAATTTTTATGAAGAAAAATTTGTGTATGGGACATTATCAGTATTGTTTTGAACTGGTCTTGGTTTTCAATCGTGGCTGTCTTTGTCTAGTGTATTTAGAGCTTCTTGTTAGCAATTTATTTTCAGTTGACTTCACAATGTGAAGTAGTGCATATGCACATAAACAATATTGTGGGGTTACAATTTTTTTCTAGATAGAGACTTTAAAGACTGTATCCACTGTGGTTCAAGTAGACTTGTGATAAAGATTATGCCTTCATACTGCCTCTAAGATTTATTTGGTCCCTATGTGTGGAATTGAACCACACTTTGGCCTCTATGCCTTTTTCCTTAGATCAAGTTCCTTCTTTGCTTTTTTCCAAATAGTTAATTTCTTTAAGTTACTGCTCATGGATTTTGTATACAAATGGTTATGTAACCTATTTTATTTATATTTTGAGTATGCTTCAAGGCATAATCAGGATAGAAAGCTTTTATGTTCTTTCTCAAAAAAATTCTTTTTTCCTTTTTACCAAAAATTAAGATAAATACAACCTACCTTATTGCTGAAAGGTATGCTATATGTAATATTTTCATTGTGAACACTTTCGTTACCTAGAAGTACAAACTCTGTTACTATCTCTTTAGTCATTTACAAATTTAATGATTCATTTATTCAGCATATTAAAAATTATATATACAAAGGGTAAGATATGGATAAAGGGAAAAATTACTGAAGCTATTCAGGGGCATATTGAAAAGGCATCTTTGGCAAGTCCACAATTTCTCCTACCTATACTGATTAACTCGCGTAGGATACTGAGGAGTTGCTTCAGCCCAGAAACAATCTAACGCCTTTGAATAACAACATCCACTTGTGATTACACCTTCTTCCTCTTTTTCTTTTCTCCATTTACCAGGATTTGCCAGTTGCAAAATATACTTTTTAAGAAAAATCTTTCCCTACTACTCCCCATTGGCTTATGCTACTGTCCTGCTTTTACCGCAGGCTTCCCATTTTCCGTCGCAGCCTCACCTCTCGCTTCTGTTCCCAGCCAGTGCTTTGGTTCTGGCCAGAGCCCACTGCTTCTGGGTTATCCCACAGCTGCTTGTCCGACCTCTGCTTTCTCTCTACCCTCCCAACATTCTGCACACGTTTCTCTCCATCACACTAAAGTGAATCACTCTCTCAAGTGTTATTCCAATTTCATTTGCTCTATTAATAACTTCCATTCACCAAACATCTGCTCTTATTTACATATATCTTCACAGCAATTCCCATGGTGGAATTCTTATCCACATTCCACACGGGAGGAAACTGAGGTCCAACAAGTTCAAGTGACTTGCCAAAGGTCATAACCAGTAAGTTGTAGAGAGCCAGGTCAAACAGAGTTCAAAATATACGCTTCTTTTACTATATAACAATGCCTCTAGCGTTGCTATTCTAGAACCATCTCACCATTTATTTTGACTGCCAAGTGGTTTTGCATATAAATACAAAAGCTATGTGAGATTTTACACTGCTCTGCCTAATGGTATTAGGTTTAATTTATATTGAAATTGGTTTACCATGTGCTTTGTTTTAGTCCTAAATCCTTCCATAAATACCAAGCACTTACCATTTGGATGGTGCACAATGGTGAGCCTGTCTGGAAGATAAAAAAGACATTCTAATGAGTTTTGTTCAATATGTATTTTAAGTCTTCTTTTTCTCTCTTTTTTTGTTTACTTATCTTTAAGGAGGGCATGAAATTTCACAATCTGATTTAAAAAATACCTCTATCCATTAAGTGTGAGAAATCATGTCTTTTATTACTTTTCCTTCCTCCTGTTGCTTGTTTCTAAATATAATTTTAGATATGTTTGACACTTAATAAAAGCTTGCTATTCTGCTATGATATTGTTTTAGCCTGGGCTACTCCTTTGTTTGAAGTTAACATTATTCAGTAATAATTACATACTGTAGAATTCAAACATTTTTCAGTGTATGCTTTTGACAAATATATATAGCCAGTTGAGACAGAGAAAATTTCTCCCACAGAAAATCCTCTTATGCCCCCTTATCAATCCTCACCCTGCCATTGCACTTGATAACACTTGACCTGATTTCTATCTCCATCAGATTAGTTTTATCTAGAACACAAGATAAATGGAGTCTTATAGTATATACTTCTTTTTGTTTAGTATCTTTCTTTCTTTTTTAATGAAGATTTTATTTATTTATTTTTGGAGAGGGGAAGGGAGGGAGAAAGAGAGGGAGAGAAACATCAATGTGTGGTTGCCTCTGGTTCACCCCCTACTGAGGACCTGGCTCACAACCCAGGCATGTGCCTTAGACTGGGAATTGAACCGTCAATCTTTTGTTTTGCAGGCTGGCATTCAATACACTGAGCCACACCAGCCAGGTGTTTGTGTCTAGTATCTTTCACCCAGCATAATATCTGTAAGATTCATTCATGTTGTTATTTATAATAGTAAGTACTCCTATTTATGGATGAGTAGTATGTGAGACAAGGAAGCTAGGAAAATTTCCTGACAAATGAATAGGGAGGTAGAGGTAAAATAGTTAAACAATTAGCAGCCAGCTACTAAATTACAAGATCTTATCTTCCTTAACCATAGCCATCTCTCCTCCCCAGCCAGAGAGCAAGTATTCAGGAAGAGAACTAACAGAGTTAGTATCATTAGTGCCAGCCAAACGGTAAAGTCAGGGGAATAAATAACAACAAAAAAACAATTAGAGCCAAATCCAAGACAGAGGTGAATCTGACCAGAGGATGATCCCAAACCCCCCTATACACTCACTTTGATACATCGACATATTGAAGGACACACCTGAAAAGCTGACAATCTGATTAATTCCTCCCCTAAAATTCTTGCCTACAAAAAACCCCAGATAACTCTCAAGACAAAGGACCCAGTATCCCCTCTTTTCCTGAAGTGTGTACTCTTGCCTTCTTTCTCCTAAGCTCACAGGGTTCTGACTAGACTTACAACCAGGGGAGCAGTGGGCAGCAGTAGCTCATCCCAGGCAACCCCCTGATTCTGTCCCTGTGGGCCCCCCTTTTGCCCCTGTAACTTGTTTCCTGAGTCTAAGCAGCCCAGCCTAGGCTCACTTCTGTTACAATGACCTTTTTTTATGAGGCAAGCAACCTGGCTTTGGCTCACTGCTTTGGTCTCTATGACTTGTTTTCCAAGTCTAAGAAGCTCCACTTAGGCCTGATTGTTTTCCTTACTTACCTAAGAGCTGAAGCAGCTCTGCCTAGGCTCAGAGCTGTTCCTAAGATCTTGTTTCCTCTATCCGAAGCCCTTCCTTTGTCTCACTGTCTCCAGCTTTAATAAATGTACTCTAAAAATCACCTGGACTCATGCCTTACAATCTTGCCTGCACGGAGTCAGGAACCCACACGTTCCAAACCATGCTGGGTTAGAACGGCCTCGGCGGGTCTCTTCCCAGTGACAGTATGTATCTACTGTATAAATATACTGCCATGTAATGATCTGTTCTCCTATTGGACATTTGGATTACTATTTCCAGTGTGGCTATTATGAATGAAACTACTATAAACTTTTGTGACTATGTCTTTAGATGGACACATACTTACATTTCCCTTGAAAAAATACCTAGGAGTGGAACAGCTAGGCAACATCATTGGTGCCTGTTTAACTTTTCGAGTCAACACAATGGGTCATACTCCAACCAGCAGTGCATGTGGGCGTGTCCAGTTTTCCCACATCCTAATCACAGCATTGATGATATTCAAAAATTGTAACCATTATACTTGTTGTGTTTTGGTATCTCATTGTAGTTTAATTTGCCTTTTCTTATGATTAAATATCTTGAGCATCTTTTCATATGCGTTTTGAACATTTGTTTCTGTAAACTAAGACTTAGGTGCTAGATATTCTCATTGATGCTGAGCTATCATTGCTTCTAGGTCTTCTCAGCAGACAGAGCTAAAAATACATATATTTATAAACACAATTATATTTCTATATATCTGTCATACATGTATAACCATGAGTCATTACATCCTTACCTCCAATTCCAACTAATACCACAACATTCATCCTAAGCTTCCTTCTTCTCTTAGTTGTAACTCCTTTCTCTAACAACAGGAAAACAGGCTCCCATAGCACATTTATTTACTCAATCTTACAATATATACAAAGCAGTTTTGAAATTGCTAAACCAAACCCCTCTAGGGAAATAAGCCCTACCAAATGAAGTATAAAATACCCTTTTCATGTACTTTTTTCTTTTTAACTTTAGCCTTATAATGTTCTGTTTTCTCAATTTATTTTTTTCTATCCCTCTCAGTGTAAATATGTTATTTGTAACATCAACAAGGTTCTTTATTTTTTAGTTTACCTTCCATTTTGTGTTCTTCCCAGCCCCATTTGTGTTTGCTGAATACGTGAAATAGTTACAAAGTTTTAAAAGGCAGACTACATAAAGAGGTATATTTGGAGAAGTGTAGTTTTTTTTCTTGTTTTTGAGTCAGTTTTGGTAAGTTTTGTTTTTTAAATAATTTGTTCCTTTTATTAAATTATTAAATGTATTGGCATTTTTGTGAGTATGTCATTGTATGGACATATGCTTAATTATAGTTTGTTAGTATCATTTTATTTTTATAGTATCTGCTGTGATATAGTATTTTATAGCATAGCATTTTAATTCCAGATATTGGTGACTCTAGTTTTCTATATTTTCCATCATCATTTTTGCCATGGGATTACAATTTTATTTATGTTTTTTTTAATTTTTAAATTTTATCTTTTACTTTAGAAAGAGGGGAAGAGAGAGAGAAATATTGGTGTGTGAGAGAGAAAGATTGGCTGCTTTCTGTATATGCCCCCATTAGGACTGAACCTGCAACCCAGACACATGCTCTGACCAGGAATCAAACCGGTGTCCTTTTGGTTTATGGGATGATGCCCAACCAACTGAGCTACACTGGTGGGGGTATTTATGTTTTAAAATAACTAATATTTGGTTTTTAAAATTTTCTCTATTCATATATTTCACTTTTCATGAATTTTTAAATCTTATTTTTATTATTTTTTTCTCTTACCTTTATTTTTGGATTAAGTTTGCTTTTCATTTTCTAGTTTCTTAAGGTGAAAACTTAGATCATTGATCTTAAACTTTTATCTTTCTATTGTAACATTTATAGTCATATATGCTTGTCTAAGTAGTTTTAGTTGCATTCTATGAGTTTTGATGTTATTTTTCATTATTATCTAGGTTGAAATATTTTCTTAATAATTTTTATTTGACCTTGCATTATTTTGAAATGTATTTGATTCCCTGTATATTTTGAGAGATTTTGCTAATTAATTAAATTATACTTCTGTTGTGGTAAAAGAATATAAGATTTCAAAGGACTGAAATTTTTCAGAGAACATATTCTGAGCATTTCAGTCTTTTGACATTCACTGAAATTTTTTTTTTGCTAGTCCAGCAAATTTCTTATCTTGGTGAACCTTCCGTGTATCCACCGTCAACAAGCATGTCTTCTGAATTATTTTCAATGTCTTGTTCTGTACATGTCAACTGGATAAGTTAGTTGATAGTGTGGTTTAGGTCTTCTGTGTTTTTACTGGTTTTTATATATTTGTTCATTCAATTACTAAGAAAAAGGTGAAAATACCTTGGAGTATTATCAAATTTTGCTTCTTGATAAAATTCATAAGTACATATATAGTATAAAGAATACAAATATTTAGGATTTTTATATCTTCCTAGTGATCTGCCTTTTTATCATTTTGTAATATCCTCTTTTATCTCTTGTAATACTGTTTGTATTGAAGTTTATCTTGTCTTGTATTGATACAGCCACGTCAGCTTTCTCATGCTTACTGTTGGCATGGCAGATCCTGTACTTTGTTACACTCACCTGTGTCTCATATTTAAAATACCTGTCTTTTAGATAGCACAAAGTTGGGTGTTACTTTTTATCTGGTCTGAAAATATCTACCTTTTAAATGAAGTATTTAATTCATTTACATTACATAGTTATTGATATGACTCATTTAATGCTATTATTTTCTTTTTATTTTTAAACTTATCTATTTTGTTCACATTCCTCTTTGGTTAACTTTCTGCTTTATTTTTGGTTAATAAAATGGCTTTCTGGAGCTCCATTTTCTCTACTAGACTCCCATGTATGTATGTATGTGTGTGTGTATCCATCTCTAATCTATTTATTTATTATTGCTTTATAACTAAAATATGCATCTTTAACTATCAGGATCCACTTAGAAACAACAGTGTACCTCTTCATGCTTCATGTCTTACACTTCCCACTTCATACCTCCTACCTTATTCTTTCCTCTTCTTTGTACCTGATTCTTCACATTCCATACTTTGAATTTCATTCTATAAAGATTTTACAACCATATAATTCACTTATCTTTGTATGATTTGTCTTTGTCTTTACATGATTGTCTTCATATCTTTTCCTTTTTTATATGTTATAACTCCCAGCTTAAGTGTGGGGCTAGTCCCAGTGAGAGCCTCAGAAAAGACATGGGGCTTTCTACATGTTAAAGTGGAAAGAAGCTCAGAGCCAAGCCAACACGAATTCATGTCAGTAATTGAGCTGCCTACTAAAGAAAGAACCTACACTCATCTGAAGAATTTTACAGAATCCAGAATATACAATAGATTATCTATAATGTTCAATACTCATTTTTTATAAAGGAAGAGATACAAAGAAACTGGAAAATAAAAGAATGCTCTCACAGTAAAAAAAGAAAGAAAGAAAGAAAGAAACTGGAAAATATAATCCACAGAGAAGCAAAAAAAAAAAACAAACAAACCCATCAATGAAAACAACCTGAGGTGATCCATTATCGACTTTAGCACAGACTTTAAAGCAGCTTTGATACACATATTTACATAAAAATATGATTTTCAGGAGTTCATAAATTGGAACTCTAAGCAAAATATTGAAACTATGTAAAAGAACCAAATGGAAGTTGTATGAGTTAAAATCACAATAAAATAGATAAACATTTATCAGATGAGCTTATCAACAGATTAGATATAACAAAAGAATTAATAAAGTTGAAGACAGATCAATAGAAATTATCCAATATGATGAAGGGAAGATAAAAATCTTTAAAAAGAACAGAGCTTCGGAGACATGTAGACCAATACAACACAGTCTAGCATGAATATGGTTAGAGTCCCAGAGGAGAAAAGAGTATGTTTGGGACAAAACATTTTAAAGGAGATAATAACCAAAACTTTCCAATTTTAATGTAAACCACCTCCATACCGTTCCAAGAACTTCAGAAAAGTCCAAAGAGCATAACTGTTAAGAGGACTCCATGCAGGCGACTGTAGTGAAACTACTTCAAGCCAAGATAAAGAGATACTTTTGAAACCAGCCAGAGGAAAAAAGTCACATTTCATATAGAGGAAAAAGGAGAAAAATATTTAATTTCTTAACAGAAACAATGAAGGACTAAAGACAATGTAGTAATATCATTGAAGTGTTAAAAATAAAAATGACCACTTAGAATTGTAAATCCAGAGAAAATATCCCTCAAAAATTTGTTGAAATGAAGGCGTTTTCAGATAAATAAAATCAGAGAATTTGCAGACAGCAAAACTGTAATATAACAATCAGTTTAAATATGTTATATTGGGTGAGGGGACAGTGAAAACCAAAACTTGGATCTTCACTAAGGAATAAAGAACACTGAAAATTACAAGAAGCATATAGATGTAAAATATTAGAGTTTTTCCCTGTACAATCCATGTGGATCTATAGAGGCTTGGTTTTAGGCTTTGTTATGGCTGATCTAGGGTAGGTGTTACTCTAGGTCATGGTTCTTACTCTGCATATCTCTTGGTGTTCACAGCAGGATGCCAGGTATTTTAACAAAGTGTCAAGGAGACCTTTCCACCCTGGCCAGGCAGGAACTCAAATATCTTAGTGTGGATTTTCCCTAATTCTACTGAGATTCTAGTGTCTCTGTTCTGTGTGCAATGTCCTAAAAAACTGCTATCTTGTACATCTCGGGTAAGCTTGCTCTGTGCTTGCACAGTTCGTCTCTCAGCCACAGACCTGTGCCATCATTTACTCCCTCTGAGGCCGCCTCTGCACAGCTACTGCTGCAGTGACCTGCCACACACCCTCCAGAAACACGAGCTGCTCTCATCTCTGATCTTTGTCTCCGCAGCTCAACAGGACTGCCTGGTTTTGCACAGGCTATAGCCAGGAAATCAGTGGTGGGAATCATGAGAGCTACCACAGAAGCTTTGCTTGTCTCTGGGATTATAGCCTTAGGTTGCCTATTGTTTACTCTCTGAACTCAGGTGTCTCATATTTTCGCTCAGCATTAGTGTTCTGTACAGTGGAAGAATTTATTTGGTACTATTTATTCCACTTTGGCTGGAAGGGGAGCTAGCTGATTCCTAATTAGGACACCAGTGATTAAGAGCACTGATTTTGGATGTAAACAGAAATTGGTTGTAGTCTCTGATCTGTGTGTCTTTGGGTGTCTTAGTTTCTCAGAGTCTCAGTTTCCTTATTTATAAACTGAAACTAATATCTACTTCAAAAAGTTATTGTAAGAAATTAATAAGATAATATTAAATGTATTGTAGGTAGTCAGTAAATATTAGCTGCTACTATGACTTAATGTTACTTAGTAAAATTATTTATATATTTTGTAATTTTATACTTTTTAAATTTTTCATCTTATTTTACATTAGAATGGAAGTCTGTAGAATTTAGTAATCTGTAAATTAGTCCCATGTTTATGACCTTAATTATTGTAGAAAGTATTTCTCTTTTAGGAAACATTTCTAAGAGAGCTTGAAGAATTCACTATGGGAAAATAGATAGCAACCTAATAATATGAAAGGAAAATGAATTTGAACAGGGTGAATTTCCACATGAAACACTAGCTGAAAGCTATGCAATATTATTGAAAATGGAAGAGAGGAAATCTTTCAAGCTTTGCTAGTGGTTGTTAGTTTTTAATTTTCTGTGCAAAAGTAGGGACTTGGGGAAAGAGTGGTCAGATAGTGAGAACATATTTATTTTCAATTTTGGAATGTGTTGTTTATCTTTGGTGAGGATTTACCATCTTAATAATGTTTGGTTTGTGTTAACATTGAGATGAGTCCTCCCCCGACCCGCTGAGCCACTGGAGAGCAACTGTTAATTATTTCCGAGGGAAATCTGCATTACCAAGAAGCACGCTAGCTGTAGGGGAAGGCAACCAGAGATTTACAAATTAAAATGGTCCACGTGTGGACAATTGTGAGAACTGACTCTGTTGAGACTGTTCTATCTTATTAAAAAGTATGACTACTTAAAAGTCTAATACTCTACAATGGCTCATATATAAGTGAAACTGGAGCAGAATCATCATTTTTGCAACTTACATCAAAATCGAAGGAAAAAAATTGCATTTACTGAATGTCCATTATGGGTCAGAGAAGGTGAAAGTATTGTATCTGTTAACTTATAAACCACTTTCAGATATGCATGATTATTCCTGTTTTGCAGACAAGGAACCGGAGTACTAGGGATTGAGGACACTGTCTGATTACACAGCCGGGAAGTGATGGAGTGTAGAGATGAACTCCGGCCTGCTTAACTCCAAAGTCCTTGTATTTTCCACTTCATCACTCTATCATTTTTGAATAGTAGGCCAATTTTACTTACCATAGACATTTTCTTCTTCTGGCCTCTTTCCAATAATGGTATCTCTTAGTTGGCGTAGTTTTTCCTAAATGAAGAAACAACCAGGAAACAGAAGTCAAGATTTACGAATTTGTCATGGATCAACACAAAATATCCACTACCATCACCAACCAGTACCACCACAGCTACTTAGAACTAATTTGGTACTGAGAATGTCCCAGTGACTATCCTTGATACTTTACATGCATTATCTTACTGAATTCTCACAACCTCATGGAGTAGATATAAAACATCATCTCATATTTCATATATAGAAACTGAAATATAAACAGGTTAAGTAACTTTCCTAAATCACACAGTTGTAAGTGGTAGAGTCAGGATTGGAATCCAGGGCCCAATTCTTTTGGGAGCTGTTTTGCCCATCTAACAGCTAAGGGTCCACACTGGCTATTTAGTGACAGAAAGTAGGAGAGTGACACAATGATGACTTGCTGCTGCCGGAGCCCAGTTCCAGTTTCTGTAGTATACAGTCCTCCCCAGGAGTCCCGTCTAAGAACTAGGGACTCAGGAGCAAAGGAAACACAACTGGATTCTCCTTCTTAGTTAATTTGTGATCATTATTTCCAGATATTCTGCATTGAACATCTGTTCTTTTTAACCACAATATAAAATAAGCTAACATTCGAAAATCCCTTTTTAGGAGAAAACCTAAGAGTAGCACTTTTCCCTAAGGGTTTCCCCTCAAACCGATAATCCACATTTCCTAAAGACAGAATTGTTTTCATTGCCTTTCAGTTACTCTCCTAAGAGTAGAGCAATTAGGTACCTAGTGATTAGAGCAGAAATGAAGAGAATGAAAGATGGGGTTTTTACCTTCTCAACCACCTTATTTTCAGCTCTGGAGATTCTGCATGGGTCTTCATTATTCTAGAAACTCTTCTATTATTAACTCTGTTTGTGCCATTTTTTTTCCTGCTAATTTCCTAAGATAATGCCTCTGTCAATAATATACCTTTACAGTTACCTCTGATAGATTCATCCTCAGTGTACAAATGAATATTTTTGTAAACTACAAAAGTAATAATGAAGTGTATGGCATTGAATGCGAATCCACATATGTTAAGAACATGGGAGAACATGTTAATTTTTTGTTCTGATTGTTGTCTGGGCCGTTATTTTAAGGACTGAGAAAATGTAGGAGAAAAGTTCCTTAACATTGGTTTTGGCAACATTTTTTTGGATATGATAGCCGAAAGCACAGGCAGCAAAAGCAAAAATAAACAAATACGACTATATTAACCTTCTACAGAGCAAAACAAATATTCAACAAAATTAAAAAGTGACCTCCAGCATGGGAGAAAATATTTGCAAATCTTATACTTGATAAGAAGTCAATATCCAAAACACATAAAGAACTCATAACAATTCATTAGCAAAAAACAAACAATAACAAAACCCCCAAATAATCTGGTTAAAAAAATGGGCAGAGTAACTGAATAGACATTTTTCCAAAGAAGACATACAAATGACCAACACATATATGAAAAAGTGCTCAACATCACTAATTATAAGGAAAATGCAAGTCAAACCCACAATGAGATACTGCCTCACGCTGGTTAGAATGGCTATAATCAAAAAGACAAAAGAGAACAGTGTCAGCAGGGTGTGGAGAAAAAGGAACCCTGAGTACTGTTGGTGAAAATGTAAATTGGTTCCTCCATATGGAACACGGTATGTACATTCTTGAAAAATTAAAAGTACAACTACCACATGATCCAGCAAGCTCACTTCTGAATATCTATCACAAGGAATGAAAACAGGATATTGAAGATGTCTGCAATCCCACGCTTACTGCGGCATTATTTGCAACAGGCAGGACAAAGAAGCAATCTAAGTGTCTGTCAATGGATGAATGGATAAAGAAGATGTGATATTATATATATTTCATATGTAATATATTTAATGGAATATTCATCAGTCATGAGAAAGAAGGAAATTATGCCATTTGCGACAACATGAATGGACATGATTTGATGGCATTATGTTAAGTAAAAAATGTTAGAGAGAGAAAGACAAATACTGCATGATATCACTTACATGTTGAATCTCTAAACATCAAACTCCTAGAAACAGAGAGTAGAATGGTGCTTGTTACCAGAGACTGAGAGAATGGGGATAAGATGTTGGTCAAAGGGTATGAACTTTCAGTTACAAGACAAGTTTTTGGGATCTAATGTCCAGCACAGTGATTGCAGTGAACAACACTGTATTATACACTTAGGTGTTGCTAAAGAGTAGATATGAAACTACCCACCCAAATTGTAATTATGTCACAATGGAAATGTTAGCTAGCACCACAGTGGTAATCATTTTGCAATATGGAAGTGTATCAAGTCAACACTTTGAATGCCTTAAATTGTTTTCAAATTCTCACCTGAGGATATGCTTATTGATTTTAGAGAGAGAGGGAGGGAGGGAGGGTGAGAGAGACAGAGACAGAGACATCCATGTGAGAAAGACACATTGATTGGTTGCCTCCCATATGTGTCCCAACCAGTGATTGAACCCACGACCTAGGTATATGCCCTGACTGGGGACCAAACCCACAACTTTTTTGGTACACTGGACAACACTCAAACTGAGCCACCCACCCAAGGCTGAAGACCTTAAATTTACAAAATGTCATATGTCAATTACATCTCAATTAAGGTGGGAAGAAAATTGGAAGAGGACTGACTGATACCTAGAACAGTATTCAGTCAGAATGACTAAAACTTTAGGTCTTCTGGAAAGTAGGCTTAGTGCTTGCTTTTGAAATTACAGGTTAATTTTTTGCTTTGTTTTGCATACGTACTAATCTTATTCATTATCCCATTGCCCCTTTATATTAGATAAGTCAGATCAGTCTCAAAGTAGTGAGTATGGACCACCTTAAATTCTTTCTAAAATAACATTAAATATAAATATGCAAACAAAATAGAAGTAACCAATAACCACATTTTTAATAAAACAACTAGTTAAGACATTTCCAAGAAGGTAGTTAGATTGGATTACTCCAAATTGTAAACTTTATTATTGAAGGGTCTAAGGAAGATGAAGTAGAACTGACTTATTTCAATGAAATTCAGATAATCAGGCACTTCTAGGAAAGTGCTTTGTATGTGTGCACTTAAGCATATTTTATCCATTTCAGGATAAGAGGGATGTTTGGTGGCAGCAGCATTGGCACAGATGGAAAAGCATGAACAGCGATCAGTTGCAAAACTCTACAATCAGCATTCTTTCACATTTGTTTAGCAAAATCACTGTCCTTGCTTAGCCCTGCAAAGTCTGAGCCATGTTTAAACACCGGCCCACAGCCAGAGCTGCCCTCAGAGACAGATGGTTTCTGATGTGGCGTCATCTCAGATGTACTGGGAAAGTCCTCTTGCCTAGACTATCTCCTGCTTATATGCCATATTGTTCAAATTTCACCACTGGGGTTCATTTCTCCATTGTTAAAAAATGTTTTCCTAAGTGTTGTTTTTCTAAGCATTGTTTTAAATAAAAAATAATCCCCTGGTAAAGATAGAATATTAAGCTATTAATGATTATTTATGCTTTGATGTAAACTAGCTAATTAAATGCATTTCATCAAACAGCTGCCAGACAACTGATTGCTAAGACACTGGGCTTTCCATAATGAGAAGATAAAAACTCATGGAATGTTTTGGGAAGAGAAAAGCCTGTGGGATACAGAGAATAAAGTCCTGATAGTGCTCACTGAAGAATGTCACAGGTGTATATGGTGTATTTTGTTTTCATTCTTATCTTTGAACTACTTACTCTAATTTCTAATCACCTCTGAAGACGTAATTTATAGAAGACAAGACTACGCTTATCTGAAATACATACACATGCACACACACATAAACATATACAAGGTCTGTTTGGAAAAGGTTCAACCACTGTTAATATAACAAGGACATTGATGTAACCTGGCAGCCAAGGAGAGTGGACTGGAATGTGCATGTGTGAACAATGGTGACTTCACTGTACTAGTCAGTGGGATTGATAAATGCTATTGAGTGAGCATGTGTGTTGTGTGGCTGTCACATTCAAAATGACTGAGTAGAGCAAGAAATCTGCATCAAATTTTGCATTAAGCTTGAACATTCCTCCATAGAACTATTCAGATGATTCAGAAGGCCACAGCTATGGGCAACTGGTGATTGGCAGCTTTATCATGACGATGTGCCCGCTCATGCATCATGTCTTATGCAGAGTTTTTTGGTGAAAGATCAAATCATACAGGTGACTCAGTCCCTTTACAGCTCAGATTTGACACCCTGCAACTTCTGGCTTTTCCAAAAATTAAATCACCTTTGAAAAGAAGAGATTTCAGACCCTTGATGAGATTCAGGGAAATACAAGAAGGCAGCTGATGGCAATTAGCAGAACTATGTGAGGTCCCAAGGTGCCTACTTTGAAGGTGTCACTAATTAGGTGTCACCCTAATTTCATCAATGACATTCATAAAACATTCACTATACTAACGATAGTCTTAGAAGTTGGTTAGGTTTTAGCTCTGATACATTGGATTCTGGCATTGAGCTCACCAATAATTTATAAACGTGAAGTCCGGATATTTTCCAGCTTTTGATTGATAGTTTGAAAACATCTTATCTTTGTGTATATTTAAAACAAAAGAACACTTACTTATATTTCTTGTGAAGACTCAACCTTAACAAAGAAGCTAGGAGCTCTGTAAGTAAGAGAATGTTCCAGAAGGGGATGGGGTCAGTATTACCTGCTGAATCACTTCCAGGCCAGTCTTTCCCATCTGCCAGTGTTTAAATTTCTCAAGGGCTTGGTCCACAGACAGTTTCCCACTCTTCACTTGCTCCTGCAGGAGGATGAGTTCTCCCTGCCCCGCAGCCAGGTAGCCGCTCACAGTGGAGTAGGCTTGACTCTCCACCCGAGGTCTGTCTGTGATAGAAGGGGAGGGTGTTTCAACAAGAAGTGAACTTACGACAGCTAGGAAAGAAAAACTCTAAAAAATAAGGAGCTTAAGTTTCTTATTCTTATGGGTGTATGAGCAGCTACAGAATAAATCAGTAGAAATTTTTAAATGATTTTTTTCCCTAAGGATGGTGTGCCTGACACCTAGTGTTATGGTTAAAAACACTGTTTTGCATCAGTGGAAAGAAAGTGGAGAGGAAGAACAGCAGCAAAAGTTCTGCCCTGCATTAGCTGTGGGTGGTGCCTACTGCCTGGTCTTTTTGTGAGGATTACTCTGAAAAATCTCCACAAAATACTTAGCATAGTACCTGCCACATATGAAGCTAAATAAATGCTAGCATTACAATTAATAATAAATATTTGTAGAGCAAAAATAGTCTCTTTAGCTTTGGGAAAAGAGATCTGAACCAAAATCTTAATGCCATAAGAGGGTTAGGATTATTTGAAAGTTTATTCTTGAATGATTTAAAATATATAATTGCTGGTCACTTTGTAATGAATGGCTTTCTTTTCAAGAGTTTATTTTTGGAGCATTTCATGTCTTACTTGTTCAGCCCAAAAGAACCTTAGACATTTCAGTTTTCTATGTGTGGCTGTTAATGCCACACCAGAGACTGGCCTGAAGTACAGAGGTAGCACATTGCAGACATGGGAGAATCCAGTGATTTGTCCCACATGGTGTTGGAAGACCACGTGAACCACCTGCATGCCTTTATGAATGCTCTGTGTTCTCCTGGCTACCCCAAGCCCTGCCATTCCTGATAATCACTGCATGGTATCATAGTTGTGCTACCCGCCTAGCTACAGAACCTATTTAAATTTATACCCTCTCCTTTATATATTTTTCTGAAGTCCAGCACACTTAACTGTCTTATCTCAGAAGGGATACAGTAACCCAGTAGCAGCAGTAGAGGTATTATGCACTGTCAGATCTAAATATGCCCATAAGTCTAGAAGCAGAAAATAGGTAATCCTAACCAATGTGCACTAATGAGCTGTCCCTGGAGAATCACTTTACTGGGGTCCCTTCATCAGGAAAGAAATAGATCAACTAGACTGTATCCAGAAGAGACTGACAAGGACTGGGGAGGTAAGAGGTCATTAAATTCTCTAGTAATAAGGGTTCTTTGATAGTGTTAGGATTGGTTAATCTGGAAAAGAGAAGTTTCAAGTCCTGTGAAGGAGACAAGCCTCAGGGCTGTCTTGGAACAACTTCTGAGGTTGCTCTCAGTTTTGAGCAGAATTCTAGCAGGGAATCTGGGAACAAGGATACAGAAAGGGTTTCTTTCTGAAAAGATTTACATGCCCATAAAACTGCTCCATGGCCCATCATTCTGGTCCCCACAGGGCTTTCTTGGCTTGTCTTTTCTCTTCAGAAGTCCTACTGCCCCAGAACTAACAAGATGTCAACACATTCTGTACTCTAAATCTCTTCCTTCAGGGATGACAAAGCATGAAAACCCAGGGGAATCAGAGATGCACAAGTCAACCACAGGGCTCACTGGTTCAGCAGCCAAAAGCACAGACGACAACTGAGGTCTGGTTTCTTGTGCCACTGCTTTTTGTAGGTCTCCACACTCCAATTCAATTTGTGAGATGCAGTCTGCAGAAGAGTTTCACCTGCCGTTCCTGCCAGAGCGTGGAGGCTTAGCATCATCATTTAACAGCTGTGCCATTTACCTAGCACCTCACTTCTGTCAACTCTTTGCCTAAGTGCAAATCCATTTTTATCTCAGGGAAACCGTGCAGCTGAATTTTCTGCTTTCTGTGGAAGTTATCACAAGAAAAGTCTTCCCAGAAAAATGTACCAGCTTCACTTTAGCTGAACTAAAAAAAATGAATCTTTAGAAATAAAATTTATTTCAATCACCCTTTTGTATTTCAAGTTTTAGCTACTAAAATATAAGTAAGATGACTTTTGGGGGTGGGAGTTCAGTTCTGTATGGTTGTGTAAAGAGACCAAAAGAACAAAAGTTAGGAGCAGCAGAAGTGTATGCACCAAGTCCTAAATTCAAGTTGTTTTCAGTGAGGCTAATTTTCCATACATCTGCTTTTACTTTTTTGCACACTAAGTCTGATAAGTAAAATAAAATTGCTTGATAAATTACTATTAGGCATGATAAGTTGCAAAGGTACTTTCCTGCCTCTCCTCCTAAGGGTAGATTAGTGAAACCAAAATGTTCAGCCTGTTAATTTTAAGCAGAGTGTGCAAAATTGCTTTATTGCACTTAGGTTACTATTTTGTGGAGGATAGAAGGATTTTTTTCCTTCCCTCTGAATTTTATACTTAGTTTATTTTCAGACACATTAATATACATTTAACATACTTTTCCTCAAAAAGAATTTGTCAGGCTGTGAACTGTGTATGCTACAGCCTCTTGGTCTCTTACTGTAAAAACTTTAAGACAAACTACAGATTATAAAGTTGGTTCTTTTTAGTTGATTCACAGCCTTTTGGCTAAAATCAAGTGCAAACTTTTAGTTTCTTTAGTATTATTCTTTCTAGAAGTTATTCTATTTGAGCAAATGTTGGTCATATAAACATCAAGAAACCTGTTGTGGTCAGTATATGAACCTATAGGTAAGAAAGCATATTGGGCTTTTCATTCAAATTCTTTCTCTTTACTGAGTGACTGGCTAGAACATATTTTGACTGAAAACTTGCAAGGAAACAACTTGATTGTTCAACAACAAAGAGTTAAAAATAAAAAATATTTACTTAATAAATATTAGGCAGTCATTAAAATAACAGCAATGACTAAAAAGACTTTGTGGGAACATAAAAGTGCCTATTATATAATGGTGAGTAAAAAAGCAGGATACGGAATTGCAGGTACAGTAAAATCTTAACACTATCAATGTTGTACATATAGAGCATTGAAGAAAATTTAAAGATGATACCAGCTATTCTATTGTGATAATTTCAGAGGTAATAACTTTTTTCTAATTTCCAACACTCCATAATAATACTATATCGTTTTCACAATAAGAAAACATCTCTCACTTTGCTAATGGGTTTCTCCATGGAATACATGCCACTCCAAACCATGCCATATCATACTGTACCATCTCACCAAAGTATTTTGTGAGCAACTGGGAAGAACTTGTCAATAATAGGACTTAAAGAACTAGTGATCAAGTTTTAAGTCTGAAGTTATTTTTTTTCCATAGCTAGGGTATTGGGGGGGGGTAAATAAGCTCAGGTCCACATGGGCAGACTAATAGATACCTGGAATGTTGATTTATTTGTAATTGACAAGCAAGTAAGTCTCCATATTTCCTTAACTTAGGCTGTCACATAACAGTGTCTCTCCTTGATTAAACTTTGGTCAGTCTCCGCTGAGTCCTTTTCCAACTAAGCTTTACCTTTTACACCTCCATTTTTGTCTTTGTGGTACCTAATTCTCACAAGAATCAACATACTAAAGAGGTTTTGCCAGAATCTCACACCCTTGATATCTGATCAACCTCCATATCTGATCTGCTTCCTTATCTTCCACCATCTCCCAGGTAATGTCTGATCACCTGCCAACCTTTAGCAGGAATCCTATTAGGTCAACATAGCTAGAATGTCCCTTACCTCTGATGTTTTCTCTTAGTGATTTTCCATCCATCCGCTGCCTGTCCCACACACTCTGTTGCGTGGCTATAAACTCTCACTTTTCCTTTTGTGTTCAGATGAAACCGATGTCTTTTATTGCAAAACTGCATTGCATTGGTCCTGTACTTAAACCATAGTGGCCCTGAATAAAGTCATCTGAATAATTTTGACATGCATCTGAATAATTTTTTCATTAACAACACATTCTTTGCTGTTTCACTTTAATTGTTGGGGATTTAAAACATGACCTTTTCCCCACTACTTAGAATATAAAGAAAAGCACCAAAAGACAAAATGATGATCATTCATATTACATTCTTTAGAGATAAAGACTGTCAACATTTTAGTGTTTCTCCTTTTTAAGTGTATATTTCTTTTATTTTTCCTAAATTGGGCTTAAACTGATATTGTTTCCTGCTGTCTGTCTTTTTTTATTCATATACCCTAAGAATGTTTACATGCCACTAAATATTCTTTGAAATGTGTTTTTTTCTATATTATATCTAAAAAGTTTGTATGATCCATGAAGTACTTAGCCATTCTGCTACTGTTGTCAGTTTTTTATTCTTACTACAATATATATTATTATTGTTTAAAAGTCTTTTACATAAATCATTGGCTGTTATGCTGTTAATTATCTTAGAATAGATTTCCAAAAGGATAATTTTCAGTTTAAATCCTTGCAAAGCTATTAATAATCAGTACCAATCTCCTTTCCTGGAAGTGTGTTGCTATTTTCAGTCTTACTGGGATGGTGAATGAGGGCCTGTTCTATTGCACTTTTGCTAATACTTTGCATTATTTAAGTTAAAAAAAGCACAAAACCTTAGTTTTAAGATTTAAACCCTTCTTTTGCTGCTAGTGATTGTCATGCTGATGTAATGTTAAATAATATAGATTTAAGCGCTGTGTAAGTAGCAGAATTTAATAAGATATATAGCAAGAGGTGCTACCTTAATCTTTTTATTTTTCTAAATGTTGCCTAATCTGAGCCCTATTTATTTATTTATTTGATTGTTTGCTTGTTTTCTTTGTGAATTAGAAGCAGTCTTCCAAACTGTTGTCTCTTTCCCCAGGGGAAAAATAAATTCTTTTAATCCTTTCAAAATAATTGGGGTTTTCTTAAATCCATAAATCATTTTAAGAACTTAGACTATTTATCTACCTGTCTAGGAAAAGGATGTGCCTCTCTCTTTTTATTGGGAATTGTTTGTGTTTCCATTGCAGAGTGAATAAGTTATTTTTCTTTCATGATGTCTTCAGATTATTATTGCTGGTACATAAAAAAACAAATTATTTCTGAATTATATTTAACCATTTTAAATAACTTTTAGGAATCTTGTAGTTGATTTTGTCATGCTTTCTA